GGTGGAAAAAACAACCCAAAAGGGGGGGGGGGGGGGGGGCGCGGACAAAATGACTGTCCGTTTCGCCCAAGTAAGCTAAGAAAATAGCAACAGCAAAAGTAAAGGTAGATAAAATATTAAATATCAACTGAAATAAAATATTTAAAAAAATCAACTTAGATTAAACATATAAATATCAACTGTTTAAAAAAGGGTTCTGATGACAAGGGAAGCTGAATTTATTGAATTACTTTTGATTAGCTCTCTCAGCGCGTTTATGAATTTGAATATTTACAGAGCGAATACACACACTGATTTTTTTTTTTTAAAGAAACATATAGGGCGAGAGACTATCATTAAGTTAGGCGAAGGTACTACTCTGACACTGGCCAATGATACTCGCCCTCCACACTGCACCTTCTCAGGGTTAAAGTCACTCCCATGCATCAAATGTATGACTAGTCTTGTATTCGCACATCTCCTGTCCTGAAATCGATCGCACGCGAGCACTTCGTAAAACAAGAGCAACGCCTCCAAAGGGATCGGTCAGCTTATCCCTTATGTCTTCCCAAATCAGAATAAACCGAAGTCCCTGGTTGAGCTCAAACTCGGTCACCTACCCAAGCAGCTGATCCTCCAACCCTTTCTTGGTGACCGTGAAGTTTATTATCGTGACCTTGATGCACACTTCCGGCAGGTAATGCGGGTTGGACAGTTTCGTGGTGAGGTAGAACTTGAAGTTTTTGTCGTAGTCGATGTCGCTGTCTCCCAGCCGTATCAGCAGTCTGCCTCCCTGTCGGAGACAACAATGATTTGATATAGGATATGTTTCCGTCGATGTAGTTTTTTCTTTGAAGGGGCCAAAGACACAATCACAAACAAGACATAATTGGAAAAATACTGTTGAGATACAGGGGGGGGGGAGTAGTTGGAGTTTGTGACAGCCGGGTCGGTCGGACAGTGACTTTGCCGCGCCCAATGTAACGAATACCAACAAGACGGCGCATGCAAAGCAAGCCCTGTAAAATATGCTTTGCATCGGAAATATCTTCCCAATCAAGGGCCAGCAGGGGAATCCCCACCCCCCCCACCCCATGCCACTCTTCAGATATCTGTGTTGAGAAATCTTAATAGAGAAATCTGTCTTTATCTCAAAGACCTGAATTAGGTTATTTATTTTCCCGCCAGTATAACAATGTGTTGATGTTGTTGTCCAACGGACAGTTTAGTACTGACGTCACCTACCTCCTTACAATTCCAGCATATTTGTAAGACACAGGTGAAACATGGTAGCTATTTTAGGCTTACCAGCTCATCTAACTTTAAAATGAAGAAAATCAAGCTGAAAAACAACAAACAAAAGAAACAAAAAAGATAACTAGATCAAAACAAAACCACAAACCTGTATGAATGTTTGTTTGAGCAAAATTGGCTCCAGCGCAGGGTCCAGCACCTCCCCGACGTCCTCCATGAGAACGGGAATTCCCGTCCGTATGCAGGCCTCGAGCGTGCGCAGGAAGTTGGCGTCCGTCATCTTGACAACTTTCAGTTTGTGCACCAACTCTTTGTTTCGTATCCACCTGTTGGCCTGGAGTAGACGGAGGCCAGAGGTGTGTTTGTTGAGGTTAAAAGCAGACAGAGGTCAGAGGTGTGTTTGTTGAGGTGTGTTTGTTGAGGTGTGTTTGTTGAGGTATGTTTGTTGAGGCTAGAACATGAACCATTTCCCGTTAATGTATCACACGAACATTCCAAAGCAACGCGTATTCTCAGGTTATATTGCCAGTGAATTTTTCTTGTTGGATCAAACGAATTTAAAATAATAATTGACGTGGTCCGTCTTAGTATTGACTGTGAACACTTTGCCCACATTATAGTAGTTCCATAAAAATAGAACCTGATTCAGCAATCCCCGCCTTGAAAAGAATCGTTCAGTCACTAAATAGATGATATTTATACGTTAGAGTTGATTGTTTAGAGTTACGCCACAAGAGATTAACTATTCAAACACGCAACTCCGCGTGAGATTAGTGTCGTCATGTGGATAAAAGGGGGGGGGGGGTGGTGGTGGGATTCTTCTGTTGCTATTCAATAAAACATGAATATTTTACTTAAAGTTTAGAGGGGCACCTTAAATATTCTTAAACATTATTACCATTAAAACAATGTCACTGTGTTCATATTACGGTCTCTATTTTTTTCAGATATGAATGAAAAATAACTCCCGAGTGCAATATAACGGTTTGGCTCTACCTGTTCCTGGGGGTCAATCATGAGGGGCCATCTCCTACCCCTGATGACGAGGATGGCGTTTTCAATCGAGACCTGATCTTTCGGCAAGCCGTCGGCATTCCACTGCCTGATTTCGAAGGCGTCTGCCAACACCGTCACCAAGGTCATGTTCTGGGTCACTGGTATTTGTAGTTCTGATAATCGGGACGTCCATCCTGAAGTTAATTTGTAATATGTGAATTATAACATTTTGTACACCAATTCTACAAAATACGTTGAAGTTGTTGTTTTTTTCTTTTCTTTTCTTTTTAAAGATTGGATATCTCCCCCAAGATTACAGATTGTAATCCCAAGCTAAACAAATATATAATAAACTGTACCATTTTAAGTAATAAACGGCAGTGGTTACCAAACTTTTTAATTTGCGGAGCCCTTTTTAGACCCCCATCCAACATCTCTCGAGTTAATAGGGTTTAGGAGTAGTGTTATGGGGAAGGGGGTAAGAAGGGGCCTCATGCCCCCCCCCCCCGAGGAGTGCCAGTTGAGAAATTTGTGAGCACAATTTGGGAACCCCTGACTTAAATTCTCCCAGCACCAAAATCAGGCTGATGCGCTCATTAGTCCTCTCCAATTTCTATGTTTCCGTCGATGTAGATTTTTCTTTGAAGGGGCCAAAGACACAATCACAAACAAGACATAATTGGAAAAATACTGTTGGGAGACAGGGGGGGGGGGGAGTAGTTGGAGTTTGTGACAGCCGGGTCGGTCGGACAGTGACTTTGCCGCGCCCAATGTAACGAATACCAACAAGACGGCGCATGCAAAGCAAGCCCTGTAAAATATGCTTTGCATCGGAAATATCTTCCCAATCAAGGGCCAGCAGGGGAATCCCCACCCCCCCCACCCCATGCCACTCTTCAGATATCTGTGTTGAGAAATCTTAATAGAGAAATCTGTCTTTATCTCAAAGACCTGAATTAGGTTATTTATTTTCCCGCCAGTATAACAATGTGTTGATGTTGTTGTCCAACGGACAGTTTAGTACTGACGTCACCTACCTCCTTACAATTCCAGCATATTTGTAAGACACAGGTGAAACATGGTAGCTATTTTAGGCTTACCAGCTCATCTAACTTTAAAATGAAGAAAATCAAGCTGAAAAACAACAAACAAAAGAAACAAAAAAGATAACTAGATCAAAACAAAACCACAAACCTGTATGAATGTTTGTTTGAGCAAAATTGGCTCCAGCGCAGGGTCCAGCACCTCCCCGACGTCCTCCATGAGAACGGGAATTCCCGTCCGTATGCAGGCCTCGAGCGTGCGCAGGAAGTTGGCGTCCGTCATCTTGACAACTTTCAGTTTGTGCACCAACTCTTTGTTTCGTATCCACCTGTTGGCCTGGAGTAGACGGAGGCCAGAGGTGTGTTTGTTGAGGTTAAAAGCAGACAGAGGTCAGAGGTGTGTTTGTTGAGGTGTGTTTGTTGAGGTGTGTTTGTTGAGGTATGTTTGTTGAGGCTAGAACATGAACCATTTCCCGTTAATGTATCACACGAACATTCCAAAGCAACGCGTATTCTCAGGTTATATTGCCAGTGAATTTTTCTTGTTGGATCAAACGAATTTAAAATAATAATTGACGTGGTCCGTCTTAGTATTGACTGTGAACACTTTGCCCACATTATAGTAGTTCCATAAAAATAGAACCTGATTCAGCAATCCCCGCCTTGAAAAGAATCGTTCAGTCACTAAATAGATGATATTTATACGTTAGAGTTGATTGTTTAGAGTTACGCCACAAGAGATTAACTATTCAAACACGCAACTCCGCGTGAGATTAGTGTCGTCATGTGGATAAAAGGGGGGGGGGGGGTGGGGGGGTTCTTCTGTTGCTATTCAATAAAACATGAAAATTTTACTTAAAGTTTAGGGGGGCACCTTAAATATTCTTAAAAATTATTACAATTAAAACAATGTCACTGT